GGGACAATACTTGGGACGAGTATGAGTATGTGTGAATAGTAGTAGAGATCTATACTACTGGAAGCACAGGACTCACGCTTGGATTAGGGAAAGTCACAAGGTTACCAAGAAGCTAGTGATTGATCTCGTTTTATTCAAGTATGTCGTTACCATTGTTTCGGTAGTGACTAAGAAGATGATTGATATTCTGACCCTAGCGGTCATATCAAATTGAGTCCGACTATGATGAGTTTGTTACGTGGTTCATAGAACCAAGTTCGAGGTAGCATCTGACTCAAGTCAGAAGATTGAAATCAATGTGATCGATAGCATCTTGTTAAGGAAGCTTGTAGCTAGAAATGCTACATGTAAAAATGTGATTATATCACATTAGAATAAGAAGGAAGGTATATTCCATTCTGGAATTTGACTCTATGAGACTTGAGTCTAAGCGTTGCATCATACGATGAGAGGTCATTAGAACACGACCCATCGGTCTGTTACAATAGATAAAGGAAAGTACTTATCCTAAGAAGAAGGAGTCCTCAATAAGGATTTATTTTGTAACTCGAAGGTTACGATTGAAAGTACAACATAGTACGAAGAGCAGATGCAGGATTGAGCACTACCTGCTATTGAGAAGTCCAAGAGTTAGATACTCTTTCGAGGAAACATAGAACTTACAGTTATTACCTAGGATGAAGAGATAACGTATGGAATCATTATACAAGTCCTATTTCGTTGATGATTTCGGGACGTAATCATCCTAAGGGGGAGATAATTGTAACGCCCGTAGATCCGGGCTAGTCAATTTAGAGACGATAAACATTAAAAATGACTTTTTGATGGAAGATTATTTAGAAGGAGTAATCTTAACTAAGTTGTAGTATATGTTACAAGGATTCCGTACATATAAAGAACGCCGAAATCCGAGTTATAACGAAGAAGTTATGACCTGTCGAAGTTTCGCGACAGAACCGGCACGACACAGCGCGACGTAAATAGTGAATTTACGTTAGATCGATATTTGGCCTTAGTGATCTAAATGAAAGTCGTAGAATACGTTAAACCGAGAGCGTGCATAAAAAGAACGTCTAAATCTGACTTCGTATGGGGAAGTTATGATTTTTCGAAGTTTCAACACTAGCAGTATGCAGCCCGAAACTCGAGATTGAGGTCGAGTGATATTTAGCCAAAACTTTCTAAATGAGAATTGAAGATCTCATCAATAGTAGTCCAACGATAAAAAGACAGACGAAAACGGAGTTCAGATGAAGGAGTTATGAATTTCGAACGGAGTTTTCCTGTCCCGGCCTACTAAAAATAATATATTAATAATATATTAAAATTAAAGTCAAAATTAGCCAACGTGCTATGTGTTTATATATTGTTTGTCTATTTGAGATGGGCATAGAATTGATGTTTTATACAGGTGTTAAATGATTTAAACTATGTAAGTATTTGTATCTACGAAAATGTTGGGTAGAACATGGATATATGGGATAGTTGGTGACTATGGAGTTAGCGCCTATTGTATAAACCTTGGCGACTATGGAGTTAGCGCACGTTGAGTAAACCTTGGCGACTATGGAGTTAGCGCTTGTTAAGTGAACCTTTGTGACTATGGAGTTAGCGTCTGATAGCTATGGATTTAGTACCTGATAGATAAACTTTGGCAGCAATGGACTTCGTGCCAATTCCTTAGGTAAATCCTTAGGAATGAATGAATGAAGGATAGTTGGTTCTTAGGGTAAAACCTTAAGAAATAAAGAAGATAATAGGGATGGGTAATTGGGTTGATTACTTGATGATTAAATGTAATAATTATATTATTGTGGGTTGAAAACCCTATATGCTCACCAGGCTCCCAAGCCTGACCCACTCAGTTTTCTTTGCATTACAGGTAATGACACAAGAGTATAAGTTGGTGGACTTGACGAGAGATTTTGGATTGTAGATCAGTAGTTATGAATAACTGTTGTAAGGTCTATTTTGTTCTGTTTATGCTTTTGGTCTGTATTGAACATGACATCCCGAGATTTTGTTATATAATGAAAATACATTTCTTTAAAGGAATGCTTTGATAAATTTTTATCATATTTTTGTTTTGGGAATAAATTCCGCAACTGTTTTCTTTAAAAGATTACTCTGATTTTAAAAACAAAGCATAAACAAATCGGTCTTTTCTGACCGTGAAATTGGGGATTTCACACATAGGTACCTGTTTAAGTAATATATTTTTTTATAGTACATCTACTCTAATAAATAAAAACTATTTCAGTTACTTGTCATTTTCTCATTAATTATGTCACATGTCATTTTGTGGACATTTTGATTTAAATACATATCAAATTCATTAATACAAATCCTTATAATTTCTAAATTTCTAAATTTAATCCAATTATTTTAGTTGTTTGTTTATCTAAATTATTTGTTTAAATTTAAAAGAGAAATAATCACTTGAATTTTAATATTAAATATTTTTCTTTTTTTTCTTATAAATTCAAACTTTCTAAATTTTCAGATCTTCATATTTATTTTTTATTTTTATTTTTTGAAAAAACTCATATAGTACATAAGTCTCACAACTAATACATAACATTTAATTTACGAAAACGTATTACAGATTTATTTAAAAGATATTCTTTTTTGAGTTTCGAATATATTATTCATTTGTGAGTTTCTTATTTGGAAATGTTTTTTTTGTATTTTCAAGGAAACATGTAGATGGGAAAATAGTATGTTTTTGTTGTGATAATTTTTCAAATAAATTATAGATTATATTACATGTTATTTTGTGGTGATTTAGATTAAAGACAAAACTTCAGAAATGGTCCCTGTGGTTTTCGAAAATCTGAAGTTTAGTCCCTAATCTTTAAAAACCTCATAGATGGTCTCTGTGGTTTCAAAACTTTTAATGTTTAGTCCTTCCGTCTAACTCCGTCAGCTTTCTATCGTTAAGTGAGGGGTATTTTTTCATTTCAATACCAGGGACCATTTATGATGTTTTCTCTTATTATCTTAATTTTTTTATTAAAAAAAAAAATGAAAGAAATTTAATCTCTCTCTCTCTCTCTCTCTCTCTCCAAAAATCCTACGTTGCCCCCACCATCACATCATTCCTCACTGTTAGTCACCACCAAATTTTACTGCCTGTTCCTTTGGTAAACACTCTGATCCTCATCCCGACCTTCTCTTCTTCCCTAATCGTAGCCTTAAGGTGGATCTTTAGTCTTATGTAATCTCCTTCCGCCTTTCGTCAACATGTCAAATCACGAGCATCATAAAAATGGTCTCTCTCTCTCTCTACCTGAAAGTTAACCACGAAATGATCCTGAGTAACAGGCATGAAATCGATTAGCAACCCCAATGAAAATATTCACAAAATCAAGAAACGGGTTCTCCGTTTTAGTCACCGGAGCAGCCAGATTCTTCGAACCCATGTCAGCGTCGCCTTGAAAACGCTATGGAGATGACGTTTTATGTCCATAGCAACATCGTTGGTTTCGTTAATCTTCTTGAAGTCTGTAAAAGTGAAAATCCACAGCCAGTAATCTTTTGGGCATCATCAAATGAGATGTCAGAATAAACCCTTTGAATTCATTTCAATTCATCAGCCAACAATCATTTGGGCATCATCAAGTCAAGGAGGATTTCTTGTTAAAGCTGTTGTCTGTGACAAAATCAAGAGGATGAGGTGTTACCGTGCTTGGATCCGAAGGGCTGTTACCGATGAGTTTGTTAAAGTTGTGGAAGGGAACCTCGATGATAAAAATCTTGATCGCACGGTATTATTATTATTATTGCTATGAATTAGAGAACTTGTAGTTAGAGAATTAGTGCAAGAATTTAATGAAGGTTCGTTCTTATGATGTGGATTGGCCATTATCGGGAAATTAGGATGGGTATTCTGGTAATAAACCAGAATCCCTCTTATGGGTCTCAAGAAACCTAATTCTGAACTAAACGCAACCTGATGATGGTTTTGGTGGTGTTGGTAAGGGTACATAATTGATGATGATGTGTTGGTGTTTTGAGCAGAGAGGACATTATGGAAGTGGGCGAGGTCGAATTTTGTAGAGTGGATATTACGGTGCAATGGAATCAAGGAGATTGGATCCACGACAGTAATCTGGTGTAGGTTTGTGTTTGTTTTTAATTTAGTTTCAAAGATCTGATCTGTAAAATCGATTTTTTTAAGGATTTCAGCAACTTTTTTGCAAACACGATTGAGAGAGGCGACGATGAAATCATGGAGATGGAGTCTTGGTTAGAGATAGAGAGAAAAAGAGAGGATCATTTACATATTAAATTTTATTTTTTTCTTTTTATTTAAAATAATAGAAAACCTTCATAAATGGTCCCCTAGGTATTGAAATGATGAAAATGTCCCTCACTTAACGGTAGAAAGCTGACGGAGTTAGGCGGAAGGACTAAACATTAAAAGTTTCGAAACCACAGGGACCATCCGTAAGGTTTTTTAAGATTAGGGACCAAACTTCAGATTTTATGAAATCACATGGACCATTTTTGAAGTTTTGTCTAGATTAAATTATATCCATATGTCATTTTGTGGTTTTTTTTCTATTTTATTATATTTCATGTAATATTTAAATGTAATAAATATAATAATAAATGCATATCAAATTTATTAATATAATGTTCCTTATAATTTCTAAATTTCTAAATTGAATCCATTATTTTAGTTGTTTATTTATTTAAATTAGACAAAATTGCAAAAATTGTCTCTGTGGTATGCAAAATTTTGGGGTTTTAGTCCAAACCTCGAGTTTTTTGGATTCATGGTCCTTTTGGAGTGGTTTGTATGTGAAAATAGTCTCTCCGAAAATTGAAATTACTATAATACCCTTGGGGTATTTATTTTTCATTTTTCTTTCATTTTTTTAAAAAAATTAATATTTATTTATTCATTTTAACAATTAAAAAAATTGAAATGACTCACGCACACCTATTCTCAATATCTCCAGATTTTTTTTGGTTTTTAATTCTAAATACACACAATGCTAAGAACAAGTGCTCAAGAACACAGTGCTCAAGAACAAACACAATGCTCAAAAATCGATTTGTATGTGTATGTTTTCGTTTTCGAAATCGATATGTGTGTGTATGAATCTGAAATCCACCATCGTCTCTTTCCTCCTCTCTGTCTACTCCGATTACTTAACATCCGCCCACCACCTCAGGTGGATTACGTTCTCAGAGATAACCCTAGAAGGGAGGCTGCATTAGGGTTTTGCAAAGGATGTCGTCGGAGAAGGAGGGAGAGGAAGTCGTCGTGGGTGTTCTGTAGTGTTGGTAGTTCAATGATGACGATGCTGCTCACGGAGGTTCCATATGCTCCCGCTACCCCAACATAAACAACATCGACCCTCCTCTACCGTTGCCATCTCCATTGTGGTCTTCAGCCTCCTCTACTGCTGTCATCTCCACTGTCTAAAAAGCCCCTTCGGCACCCCCAAGCATCTTCCATCGATAGAGATTTAGATTAAGTTAATGGTGGAAGTGATCGATCTGAAAATTGGGTCTACTTCAACGAGTTTTGTAAGTTGAATCAAATCGATTCAGCCAACTGGAGGATAAGCTATTGGAGGATAACTGTAAACCTATGGTGATTACTTACACAATTTTGATCGAGGCCACCATTTTTGACGGTGGGATTACTGAATCAATGAAGCTTCTTGATGAAATGTTGTCTAGACGTCTTCAACCTGATATGAATGTGATTTAGGGATTTTGAAGTGATTTGAATAGAAAAGGCGGTGGCAGTAGGTAACCCCGGATGTCTTGGTGGCCGGAAAAACGGCTCCAACTCCGGTGGGGAGTTCTTGCTCGTAAATGAAGAAGGAGGAGGGGGTGGAGTTTGTAGAGAGAGAGAGAGAGAGACAGAGACAGAGGTGGGCCCTCTTATTTTTTTAATAATTAAAATGAATAAATAATTATTAAATTAGAAAAAAATGAATTTAAAAATGGAAAATAAATACCCCAAGGGTATTACCGTCATTTCACTATTCACAGGGACCAAAAACGCAACGAAACTAGCTCAAAAGGACCACCAATCCAAAAAAGTCGTGGTTTGGACTAAAACCCCAAAAAAATGCATACCACGGGGACCATTTTTGCAGTTTTGTCTTTAAATTATTTGTTTAATTTTAGAAGAGAAATAAACACTTCAGTTTTTTTTAACGGCGGGGTAACGAGATTAGTGGTTAGAAGTTAGTTTCACGAAATCGTCAACGTCTGGATTAGAACTCGAGACTTTCAAACTACGAGACAAATCATCTACCAAGTCGGCTAGTCTCATATTAGCTAAGCATTTTAACTTTAATTATTAAATATTTTTCTTTTTTTTCCTTATAAATTCTTATTTTCCAAATTTTAGACTTTCATATTTATTTTTATTTTTTGAATAAACTTATGTCATATATATATATATATATATATATATATATATATATATATATATATATATATATATATATATATATATATATATATATATATATATATATATATATATATATATATCAGTGTTGCAGAAATCGGCCTTGGCGGCCGATTAATCGGCGATTAATCGCTTGGCGGTCTTAAACCGATTACGATTAGGGTGCTTGGCGGAAATTGGTCAAAATCGGTCAAAGTCGGCCTTGGCGGCCCTTGGCGGTCATAGGCGGGAATTTTTTTAAAAATTAAAAAAAAATTAATTTTCAAATATTACACCAAAGTTTTAAATTTTCAAATTTTTAAGCTTTCAAATTTTAAAATATTAAACTAAAATTTTCAAATTTTTAAAAATTTCAAATTTTAAATTTTCAAATACTGTTTTTTAGGGAATATTAATTTTTTAAACAACTTTATTAGTAATTAAGGGTCCCGATTAATCTCCGATTAATCCCCGCCTAGTCTGATTAATCACTTATCGCCAGTTAACCGCCGAGCTACCGCCGAGCGATTTTTACAACCTTGATATATATATATATATATATATATATATATATATATATATATATATATATATATATATATATATATATATATATATATATATATATGTCTCAAAACTAATATATAAAATTTAATTTATGAAAATGTATTACAGATTTATTTAAAAGATATTTTTTTTGAGTTTCCAATATATATTTTCTGTGAGTTTCATACTTTAAAAATGGTTTTTTTTTTTTAATTATTTTTAGTTATTTTCAAGGAAACATGTAGATGGGAAAATAGTCTTCCTTTGTTGTGACAATCGTTCGAATAAATATAGACTCCATATATATTTTTCTTCAAGTTTCGAAATTATACCCAAAGGAGTTGCGAACGACATTTTTAAAATTCTTTTGGTTTTGGTTTGTAAAAATCATACAAATAGATGGGGACCATAATAATTTTGTTGGTAGACAATAACAGAGTTCGAAATGGTCATCTTCGAAGATGAAGGTCGTGCTGTCTTATTCTAAAAAAATAGATCATATTATGAAATTTTTTATGGAAACTGAACATTTTGTTTGACTAATGTTTTTGTTATAATATAAGATAATTTATTTAAGTTTAGAAAGGAAATACCAAAATTCTCTTTTGAAATTTCCAAAAATAATGGAATATTGAGGGCACATGCGCGTGAAGTAGATATGGTTTCCAGTTTTGGGATTCAAGTACCTTTTCCTTTTCGACCCAACGCGTTAGGTTATGGATTCGTTCACACAACCGGGTCCTCTATACAGTAATAGATAAGTGTTTTTGACTTTTATTCTATTCTGATTAATACTTTTCTGAAACATATTTGTTAACATCACAGGATATTATATGTTTATAATATAATAATTATGAGTTATGGAATAACAACAAAAATTCGGAATATCTACTCTACCTTCCTCTAATAAACAAAACCTTAAATGTGCCACATGTCCCCCTTTCTATCATGCTAACCTGCCATATGTCATGAATAATTCCTATATTTTTTTGTACTAAACAAATCATAATTTGATAAATATTAATTGTAACCCCGATTTTTTTTCAACTTGCTGCATTTTTTGGTTTCATATAACATTCAAATTCCATGTTTTTTTTGGAAACAATAGCAATTTACGTTCAAATTGTTTGTTAACAAATCCTACTTATTTTGACTTTTTTGAAGATTTCAATGAATCCCATAAAACCAGCAATTTGAAATTAAGATTCTGACTACATTTATATATTTTAAAATCATTAACACGTCTTCAACATTCATCACATTGATATCCCTAAAAATCAGCTAACAATATTTTAGATTTCATTTCCTAGCAAAAAATTAGAATTCTGTTCCTTCAAATTTGATTCCGTGCACCATATAAGTTAATCACGGTTAGAGCTTCACCTCTATTGCACCCACATCCCCTTCCCCGTTGCTTTGCCTCCTCCCGTCATCAACAATCGACAACATATTAAGGGTCCTGGTGGTAATAGAAGTTATAGTTATTACTGAATCTCGTGTTATTTATGGTGTTAAATCTGCAAATTTTCTGCATTTAACCACCTACAACATAGTTGTTTAAAGAACATCGATCCATTCTCTTCCCTTGATTCTGGAAACAGAGATAATTTTATTTAAATGTTGTAACTTTTGGTCAAGTATGATTTACATCTAGCGTTCTTTAACCCTCCAATTGCTAAGATTATGTTTTCTTTTAATGTTTTGATTCTTTGGGTGCTAAATATTTTTTGATTTTTTAAAAACGACATTGTATTCAAACTTCACCATTTTTCCATAATTTTAATGTTCACTGATAATACATGGGACTATTTTAACTGTTTGAATGGAACAAAAGATAGTGCCACCAAACGAAGGATAGTTTCATCTGAAAGGTTATTGCCTTTATGATACATGAGTGAAATGTGTATATATTACTATTATATAAAAGTATGAAGTGATTGACCTAATTTAGCATTCCTATAATATATAAAATTGTCCTTATGCCAAGTTTATAGTATGAAAAAAATGCAGGAAATAACAATTTACTTTATTCTTTTTATCATCGTAAGCAATTTACTTTACTTTTTCCCAATAATAACAAGGTACTTACATATTTTTTTACCAATAATACCAAGGTACTTACATCGTCTCTTAAACATTGCTTCAACGGTTTCCTTTATGATGATTTCTCATTAAAACTAAACTCATGATTAATTGCTTTGTTTAACGTTCTTATAATCAACTATTCTTTTCAAGTAAAGTATTTGTTAATAATTGTTCTATGGATGGTGCCTCTTAGAAATATTTCTAGAAAATTTTTGTGATATAATGAAAAACTAAATTGTTTGTTTATTTGCAAAATAGTTATGGTCAGGAAATAATTGGGATCTTTGTTTAGGATATATGTTTATCGTCAGTTTAGAATCCATTTTACCATAGTTCTATAAATTTTTTGAATTTAGGATGATATTAACAAAATTTAATTAGCATGGTATTATATTACATATACTTACACATTTATCATAATAATAATGATTCATTATAATATAAATCTTCATAACACAACATATTTATATTTTTACTTTTATTTTTAATTAAATACTACAATTTTGGAGATTAAACTGTTATGTTTATTACATTTTCATAATATTTCATGTTTTCTTATAATCAAAGTTATGCTATATTTTTTTGTTGATATTTTATTTTATTTTATTGTTTATATAATAATTATAAAAATATCAAACGCGGTTTCCACGGGTTATAACCTAGTTCTTTAATAATTTCTTAATCTTTTCTTTTCCCGTAGATAAATCATTTAGGTCGCAATCCGTTTTTTTAATATCTTTAAGTATATATATTTTTATATTATTATAAAGTATTTTTATGCGGATAAACTACTAAATTCTTTTTATGTAAAATAAGACAAAAATGTCAGTTTCATGTTTTAACTAACACATATTCACAGGTAAAATACTATATTAATTGTTTAATAAACACATTAATTTAATCATTCATAATTTATCATAAAATTCATAGAGATTTCATAACTTATTATAAAGAAATTCACAACTCATTTATAGTACATTCACATTTTAATAAACAAAATTTACGATTTAATATAATAAATTCACACACTATTACACAACATTAATGAGATCAAGTAAAACAATCACAAATTATCACATAGTATTCATAAGATCAAATAAATCATTTATAATATTTCTGCAACTCATGAAATTCACAACTTAATAAAGAAAAAAATATACACATTTGCAACTTAATACATAAAAAATACACATTCACGCTTAATAACTTACCAAATTTTACTGGGGCATTTCTTCAAACACATTTTGTTCACCACATGATTGAACAAATCTAATGGTGTTAGGTACCAGTTAGGAGTAGATTAGA